TATTGTGCCAAGATAGTGGTAGTTTTCAACTTGTTCTAAAGCAGTACCTTTAATTGTCAGGCTTTCACCATTATTTTGTGTGTTCGATATCCTCATAAATTTGGTTTTCTTGACGTTTATTGATAATCCATATTCTTCTCCATACTCAACTATCTTGTTCATTAGCTTTTGGAGGTCTTGGAGGTTGTCTGCTATTATGATAGTATCGTCCGCATATCTAATGTTGTTAATTGGTGTTCCGTTGACCTTGATTCCTGTTGTTTCTCCCTCAAGAGCTCTTTTCATAATTTCTTCAGAGTATGCATTGAATATATATCATTAAAGATGTATCATTAAAGATGTTACAGTTCTTAACAGATTCACAACAGGTAGCGATCACAGGATGGTCAGAGCAAAAATTAGTATTGACGGTAACTATGAGATGAAAAGAAAAATAAGTAGAAACTGGAATCTAGTAGATAGAAACAAACTAGATCAATATAAAGAGATATACAAAGACCTATTAAAAGAACAACTTACTAAAAGATTAGACAGTGACGATAAATATATAGACGAAATAGACAACATACTTACAGCAACAATGATTACATCAGGAAAAGAAATAGCAAAGAAGGATCTAAAAAAGAACAACTATATATCAACAGAAACAAAGAAGCTTATGGATAAAAGAAGGAAGCTGAACGAAGAAGGCAAAAGGAAATCTATTGAATATGTAAAAATTAATAAAACAATAAGCATAATGATAAAAGAAAATAAGAGAAAAAAACAAGAAATAAAAATGGATGAAGTAATACAAAACAACAAAAATATGAAATGCTTAAGGCCGAAATTAGGTAAGTTTGAAATAAACAAAATAAAAGATGTAAATGGAATAGAAACAAACGTTAAAGATGACATCATAAATATAATCCACCATTTCTACTCAGAATTATATAAAACAAAGAAGGAACCACCAGAAGAAATTAAAAACCAACTTAAGGTCAAAATAAAAAATGTCAACTCAGAGCTGCAGCCCGAAATAAGCAAATCAGAAATGAAGAAGGCATTGAAAGAAATGAAAAACAACAAATCGCCTGGAAAAGATGAAGTAACTACAGAGATGCTGAAATATGGTGGAAAAGTGGTAATTAATACTCTACATTCCCTTTTTAACAGGATATTAAAAGAAAAAAGAATCCCAAACAACTGAAAGGAATCAGTAACCATTATCCTACACAAGAAAGGGGATAAAGCAGATATAAAAAACTACCGTCCTATAACACTCCTCAATGTAATGTATAAACTCCTAACAAAAATTTTAACCAATAGATTGACGACAAAATTCGATGGATACCAGTCGAAAGAACAAGCTAGTTTTAGAAAGGGATTCAGCACAAGTGACCATTTACTAAGTATGAAAATACTTATAGAACGAGCAAATGAATACCACATTCCTCTATATATGGCGTTCATAGATTTCGAAAAGGCTTTCGACAGTGACGAACATTGGGCAGTGAAAAGTTCTTTGATTAACAGCCGAATTGACCACAGATATACGGAACTAATAACCAATATATATATATATATATATATATATATATATATATAAGGAAGCCAAAACAACAATTAAAGTATATGAAGGAACAAAATCATTACAAATAAGTAGAGGCGTGAGACAGGGTGATACAATATCACCGAAAACTTTTCAATCAGGCTCTTGAAGATACTTTTAAAAGATTAGAAAGGGAAAAAAAAGGTATAAAAATTTGTGGACAACGCTTGAATCATCTAAGGTACGTTGATGACATCGTATTGATAACCGATAAAAAAGAAGAATTATTTGAAATGATGAAAGAACTGGACGTAGAAGCTGGAAAGATAGGCCTTAATATGAAATTACAGCAAGACCAAAACTATAACAAATACAGATGAAGACATCACAATGAGAATCGGACAAGATGAAATAGAACAAGTTAAGGATTATATATATATATATATATATATATATATATATATATAATATAATATATCTTGGTCAAACTATAAAACTTAACAAAGAGAACCAAACAGCAGAGATCAAGAGACGAGTTAGACTGGCATGGGCGGCATTTGGCAAACTAAGCTACATTCTTAAAAACAAAAGATATCCACAGCATCTTAAGACCAAAGTATATAATCAATGCGTACTCCCTGTTCTTACGTATGACTCCCAAACGTGGACATTTACAAAAGCAAACATGGACAAAATCATAAAAACCCACAGAGCAATGGAAAGACAAATGTTGCACATAAGATAATGGATAAGAAGAGAAACGAGTGGATAAGAGAGAAAACAAAAGTAAGGGATGTTAGACAAGAAGTTGCAAAATTGAAATGGAGATTTGCCGGACACAATATAAGACAAAAAGAAGACCGATGGAACAAAATTATTATAAGTTGGAGACCGTGGGAATATAAACGAAGCAGAGGAACGCTCCAAATGAGATTAGCAGGTGATATCAAGAAGCACGTGGGCTTTAGATGGAAGACCGTAGCGACAGACAGAGAAGAATGGAAAAGGATTGGGGAGGCCTATGTCCAAAGATGGACCGAAGAAGGCTAATTAGATAGATTAGATAGATAGATGTATTGAATAGTAGTGGTAACAATACACACCCCTGTCGCACTCCTCTTTTAACTTCGAACTCTTCTGATGTGTGTTCATTAATGCGTACGTGTGCCTGCTGTTTATTATATAGATTTGTTAAAATTCGAAGGTCATTGTGTTGTAGTTGTTTTGCTTTGAGGATGTCCATTAGCTCTTTGTGGCGCACTGTGGCGGAAAGTTTTGTTTGACATTGCCAAATAGTGAAGTTGGATTTAGTTAGCATTAAAAATTCTTTAGCTTAATAATTAATGCCGATTAATTTTTCCAGTATGTAACACTTACGTCATCAACGTAATGGGCCCAAATTAATTCAAAATTTGAAGTGCTAAAGTCGTTCAAGGTAACGTTCTGAGCTGCACATAAAACAGGTATATATTATAACATTATCATCATCACAGTCATTAACATCTTAGCAGATGTGTTGTGGTTCATAATTGGGCTTCAGCAGCTCGGACAGTTTGATTGATAATATTTCTCCACTGGTCGCGGCCATCAGTTATATGTATTGCCTCAGTATACTGTTTATTGAGAAGCTTTTTAGTAATGTCCGCCCATCGCTGTGGAGATCTTCTGCGTTGGCGTTAAGTCTGAGGCCTCCTTGGACCACCAACCGCTCCATTTTGTGATTACTTCGATGGATATGGCCAAAGAACTTCAAAATTCTAGAGTAAACGGTACTGGAGAGACGCTGATCCGGTTTAATTTCATCCAGAACCGAGATATTTGTACGGCAAGCCGTCCATGGAATTCGATGCAGGCGTCTCCATGTCCACATTTCAAAGGCGTCTATACGTCGTCGATCTGATTCTTTGACTGTCCATGTCTCGCATGCATAGTAAAATATGGAAAAGACCAGAGTTGAAACGAGTCTCTTTTTGTTTGTCATAGTAATGTGACGATCACGCCAGACCCCGTTTAGTTCACTCATTGCTGCTCTTGCTAGTTGAATGCGTCTTCTAATTTCAGATTCACAACTGCCTGTGTTGTTAACTAACATTATACTTAACTAACAATCTAACTGATCTAACTTGAATAACTTACGTTTTGCAGACGATACAGTGATAATTACGGATAACAACAATGATTTACAGAACCTAATGCAACGCCTTAATGAACGCTGTCATGAGTACGGACTGAAGATAAATTTAAAGAAAACTAAATGCATGATCATGACTAAATCTGCACATGCAAATATCCAATTGACTATTGAAGATACTGCAATTGAGAATGTTAATAACTATAAATATTTAGGAACATGGATAACATCAGATGTAGACCAAACCAAAGAAATTAAGACACGTATTGAAATAGCACGTACATCATTTATTAAACTTAAAAAGTTTCTTTGTTGTCGGGATATAAGGTTAGAACTACGCCTGAGAATGCTTCGATGTTACGTGTTCTCTACTCTTCTTTATGGTCTGGAAGCTTGGACACTAAAACAAGTTCATCTGAATAAGCTGGCCGCCTTTGAATTTGGTGTTACAGAAGAATCCTACGAATATCATGGATTCAAAGAATGTCAAACATGGAAGTAACTAGAAGGATAGGAAATGAGGCGGAAATAATATTAACTATTAAAAGACGAAAACTTGAGTACTTGGGACATGTGATGAGAGGGCAAAAATACGCATTATTACAACTTATTATGCAGGGCAAAATCCGAGGAAAGCGAAATGTGGGAAGACGAAGAATATCCTGGCTTAAGAACTTAAGGGAATGGTTTGAATGCAGTAGTGCAGAACTTTTTAGAGCGGCAGTCAACAGAGTCCGCATAGCCATGATGATTTCCAACCTTCGATAGAAGATGGAACTTAAAGAAGAAGAAGAACAATCTAACATTACACATGACGAAAAAAGCAGAAAAAACTGTCAGTCTCAACATTTTTATCAAAAATCAAAGGAGACAAAAGAGTAGACGACTATTTCAAGAAAACAGTAGGTAATTTTGCACAACTTTGGAGGAATAAACACTGAATTAAGTATAATGAATGCAATATTCAAACATCTACTGTGAAGAAAACGTATTAATTTTTTTATTTCAGATTTTTAAGTTCGCTTATGCTAAATTCATTTACTAAAAATTATCACGAATATTTTTTTGTTACTTCTAGCATTCGTGCTAAATGCCTCATCACAATATAAAACAATTAAAACCGATAAACTATACTATTTCACATAAATCGAATTCGCTCTGATTTCTAAATAAACTTCTAAAGAGGGTAGTTGTCTAGTACCGCATATTATCCTTTAATCACATTAAAACAACATCGACAACAACCAACGATACCTGTTTCTGGATGTGGGGTCGTGCGACCATGAGATGGATGAAATTTTTTGTTACCAAAAATATGTTTTTCCAAAAGATCCCCACCTGTAGTCTCTAACTGGGTGGTCACCTCGGGAGTGGTATCCGTCGGTTGACTTTTGAAGGGAATAGTCGCCGTCACGACGCTGACACCATCGGAAGGCTCCGTCATTTTGGCCGGCTCCGGTGGAGCGTCCCGTTTAAATAGTTTTAGCGGCGTCAAGGAAGGCATGATTCTGGAAGAAAAATTTTACATTATTTATTAATTAATATGTACTGGTAGTTAAGCACAACTACGAAATTAAAAATAAAATAGTTTATATCGACACCCCTCATCGAACAAGGTTTTAACTCAAGTTAGATCTATTTTCACATTTCAACACAGGCGAATTCAGTGAAAAATTGCGCACACGTCAATATAAACCACATAGCTTAATTCTCAATAGTTTCGCTAATACTCCGTTGAAAAAAGTTGTACTTTAAGTTACGTGTGTCATTTTAGCGTAAAAAAGGCAGTAACACTCTTACTCCCTATGTGAAATTTTTAGTTTCTATATATTTGACGATTAATACGGTTGCTAAAGAAGTTACAGCTTTGTTGCACGTATGTTTAATTTATAAAGTAATCATACATAAGGTGTATTACTACCGTAATCTAAAATCAAAAACATGATAGCCTCCTCTTGGAAAAAAGTTTAGGAAAATTTGTTGAGATTCTCAACGGTTCTTTTATATTTTTGTTGCTAAATTTTTCACAAACCTTACATTTCTTACTAAAATGGTCAATATGAGTATTTATTTGAGACCAATATAAAATATGCATTCCATGATTTTGAGTTGTAGTAATTCCAAAATAATTCTCCTGCAACAGTGATAGCATCTCTTTACTTTACGCATTAGGTACAACGTCATTGTAAAATAGCAAATTATTAAATAGATATGTGGCATGTCTAATTTAATAATACCTTTTAAGTAATTCAAGAACTTTACTAATATCTGTATGCCATCTCATCAAGTAATAGTTTGTCAATATTTGTAACACATTATCCTTTACTGTCACGTCAATGAAAACTTGTTTTTTATCATTTGCAAAGTTAACTAAATGAACTGTTTTTGTAATAACCTTATGATCTTCATTCGTAATATTCTGAAAGTTTCTAGACAAAAAGTAAATCAGCAATATGTATTTCTTTTCCTGGCCTATATCTTACCTCAAAGTCATACTTTAAAAGTTTTACCTTTATTCTTTGTACTCATGCTTTCACTTTTAAAATCCACAAGGAAAATGAATTCCTGTAGTTGGCTGTATACCATGAATCACAAAAAATTTAATTTAAAAATTTCTTTATAAAAGGTATATTATTATAAAAACTCTATTGGGCTACATCACATAACGTTTTCGTAACGACTATTCCATCATCAGTGCTATCCTGTTATCTTTCTGATGCTCTTCTTCTTCTTCTGGTTCCTATCCGTTTCGGATATTGGAAATAATATTGGCAATCAGAACCTTGCTCGCTGCGGCTCGAAACAGCTCCGTTGAGGTTTTCTTAAACCATGTTCTTAAATTCCGCAGCCATGATATTCTCCTTCTACCAGGTCTTCGCTTACCTTTGACTTTACCTTGCAATATAGACTGTAGCAGGGAGTAACGGTGCTGATTTCTCATAACGTGTCCCAGATATTGCAATTTTATGCAATAAAATTCTGGTTCCTTCTTCATTTTTCCTACTTTCTTGTTCGTGATCCTTGCTGTCCATGATATTCTCAGCATTCTGCTATAAAGCCACATCTCAAGTGCTTCAAGTTTTTTATTAGTGGTGTCTGTAAGCGTCCATGCCTCCGCCCCGTACAATAACACAGAGAAAACATAGCATCTCAAATGTCTCATTTTTGTATCAAGGGATATGTTGTGGCTTTTGAAGATGGCACTCATTTTGTTAAAGGCCGTTCTTGCCTTTCCTATGCCGCACTTTATTTCCTGTACATTGCTCCACTGTTCATTTATAATAGTTCCCAGATAGCAATACTGTTTTACTCGCTCTATCTGCGTCCCATTAATGTATAGATGATCCCTGTTTACAATATATTCTCCTTGCTGATAATCATTTGTTTCGTTTTGTGGGTATTAATGTTTAGTCCGTACTGTTGACTGTACTCGTTTATTCTGTCCATTAGCCTCTGAAGTCCTTCCAAACTATCTGCTATCACCATGGTGTCGTCGGCATATCTAACATTGTTTACTCTTTCACCACTTAGAAGGATGCCTTCGTCTATTACGTGAAAGCATGATTACAAAGAATAAAGGTAAAACTTTTAAAGTATGACTTTGAGGTAAGATATAGGCCAGGAAAAGAAATACATATTGCTGATTTACTGTTTCTACCACTATTAAAAAGCTTGAAGCACTTGAGATGTGGCTTTATAGCAGAATGCTGAGAATATCATGGACAGCAAGGATCACGAACAAGGAAGTTCTAGGAAAAATGAAGAACGAACCAGATATTGTGTTTACGATCAAACGCATAAAATTGCAATATCTGGGACATGCTATGAGAAATCAGCACCGTTACTCCCTGCTACAGTCTATATTGCAAGGTAAAGTCAAAGGTAAGCGAGGACCCGGTAGAAGGAGAAAATTATGGCTGCGGAATTTAAGAACATGGTTTAAGGAAACCTCAACGGAGCTGTTTCGAGCCGCAGCGAGCAAGGTTATGATTGCCAATATGATTTTCAACATCCAAAACGGATAGGAACCAGAAGAAGAAGAAAAGCATCAGAAAGATAACGAGATAGCACTGATGATGGAATAGTCATTACGAAAACGTTGTGTGATGTGGCCAATAGGGTTTTTATAATAATATACCTTTTATAAAGAAATTAGAAAAAAATTATAAAGAAATTTTGGTCGGTCAGATAGCTCAGCGGGTTGTGCGGCTGCCTCTCATTCGCTTCACTGTCGAATGGTTTAGTGGATGTGGGATCGAGCCCAAGCTCGGTGTACAGAAAACAAAAAGTCTAACGCAGCAGTTTAAAATTCTAGATGAATCTGCGGCTTAGACTAGGATATGCTGGGATCTGATCGGCCTATGGTGGAGCAGTACGGCAAGAGATAAGGGCTTGCGGCTCGGTGATACTTCTCCATAGATCCCTACCGGACAGGCGTAACGCCTAAAAAAGCGGATATATATATATATATATATATATATATATATATATATATATATATATATATATATATATATATATATATATAAAGAAATTTTTAAATGAAAATTTTTGTGATTCATGGTATACAGCCAACAACAGGAATTCATTTTCCTTGTGGATTTTAAAAGTGAAAGCATGATTACAAAGAATAAAGGTAAAACTTTTAAAGTATGACTTTGAGGTAAGATATAGGCCAGGAAAAGAAATACATATTGCTGATTTACTTTCTGTCTAAAAACTTTCAGAATATTACAAATGAATATTTTTTATTTCAAAAATAGTTCATTCAATTAACTTTGCAAATGATAAAAAACAAGTTTTCATTGACGTGACAGTAAAGGATAATGTGTTACAAATATTGACAAACTATTACTTGATGGGATGGCATACAGATATCAGTGAAGTTTTTAAAAGGTATTATTTAATTAGATATGCCATATACCTATTTAATAATTTGCTATGTATTTTACAATGACATAGTAGTTATACCTAATGCGTCAAGTAAAGAGATGCTCTCACTGTTGTATGAGAATTATTTTGGAATTACTACAACTCAAAATCGTGGAATGCATATTTTATATTGGTCTCAAATAAATACTCCCTTCTTCTTCTTCTTCTTCTTCTTCTTCTTCTTCTTCTCTCTTCTTCTTCTTCTTCTTCTTCTTCTTCTTCTTCTTCTTCTTCTTCTTCTTCTTCTGGTTCCTATCCGTTTCGGATGTTGGAAATCATATTGGCAATCATAACCTTGCTCGCTGCGGCTCGAAACAGCTCCGTTGAGGTTTTCTTAAACCATTTTCTTAAATTTCGCAGTCATGATATTCTCCTTCTACCGGGTCGTCGCTTACCTTTGACTTTACCTTGCAATATAGACTGTAGCAGTGAGTAACGGTGCTGATTTCTTATAACGTGTCCCAGATATTGCAATTTTATGCGTTTGATCGTAAACACAATCTCTGGTTCCTTCTTCATTTTTCCTAGAACTTCCTTGTTCGTGATCCTTGCTGTCCATGATATTCTCAGCATTCTTCTATAAAGCCACATATCAAATGCTTAAAGTTTTTTAATAGTGGTGTCTGTAAGCGTCCATGCCTCCGCCCCGTACAACAACACAGAGAAAACATAGCATCTCAAATGTCTAATTTTTGTATCATGGGATATGTTGTGACTTTTAAAGATGGCGCTCATTTTGTTAAAGACCGTTCTTGCCTTTCCTATGCGGCACTTTATTTCCTGTAAATTGCTCCACTGTTCGTTAATAATAGTTCCCAGGTAACAATACTGTTTTACTCGCTCTATCTGCGTCCCATTAATATATAGTCCCTCTAAACTATAACATAAACAATAAATACTCATATTGACCATTTTATTAAGAAAGGTAAGGTTTGTGAAAAATTTAGCAACAAAAATATAAAAGAACCGTTGAGAATCTCAACAAATTTTTCTGAACTTTTTTCCAAGAGGAGGCTATCAAGTTTTTAGATTACGGTAGTGCGTCTTCAGCACTTAAGAATAATCAAAGAGAGGAAAATGTAATACTTGGGTCATGTGTCGAAAGGCGAAAGATATTAATTACTTCAGGTTATACTGGAGGAAAAAACACAGGGCAAAAGATCAGTAGGAAGACGCCAGAGCTCATGGCTAAAAGACCTGAGAAGATGGTTCAACCGCTCATCCGCAGAAATCTTTCTACTTTTTAAAATGGCTGGAGGTAATTTTGGTAAAGGATGAAACTGCTCAAACAGTAGTGAAATATTTTAAATTAGTATTCTCTCGGGTTGGAATCTCATTGGAGGATAATATGCCTTATGGTTTACTAATGTGTAAAAATTTTGCAAAAGGGTGGAATTTAAAATTTTTTTCCTCCAGTCAAATGGGCTGAGAGAAAGGGCAGTACAATCATCGAAAAATATGGAGATGAGTGAAGAAAATGTGAAGATTTAAACATTGAATTATTAGAATACAGATACACGCAAGAAGATAAAGGAACTCACAACAAAGACAAGCTACAATATTTTATCGAAAGGGC